ACATATACTGAGCCGAATATTTGGTCTGAGTTATGCAGTCAGTTAGCAACCTTTTAAGTCATGATTTTAAGCGCACAGTGATAGCCTCAAGCGCGTCTTAGCTTTAATGGTGAGAAAGCGGCTCTTACAATCAACCTCACACTCTTCTCTCCCCTTCTTCACTCAGGCCTCTGTTCGAGCCGGCCAGTTGTCTAGGGCGAGGTGAGCGTAGTGGCTGACGGGGCCAGTGAACCCGTCTGTGCGCATCACAGCTCGACCTGGTCCCCTTGGCACACACGCCAGGATTTATACAACCATGAGGTTAGGAGGATACATCGGCTTCTGACTCAAAGTCCACTCATCAGCCATTAGGCCTTGTTTTACCAGTCTCTGTCTGGCAGATTTGTAGGTGAGCCACCAAGCCAGGTGGTGGAGGAGGTGTTGGTATCAGGTTGCGAGTCGGATAGGGTGGCATAACTAGAGCTGTGGTGTTCGTGGTCTTCATTTGTGATGAGTGTGAGGTCGCTTAATGGAGGATTGTGTCGACGGGTGAAGGTGGTGGGGCATCGGTAGTTGAGCGTCCATGGTAAGAGTGGTCTTTCTCATAGTGCTAGAATCAAATAGGACTGTCGAAGTATTTTCCGCTGTAGACCTGGGTGACGGCGAATGGTTGCTGCATTGCCTGCGTAGGTATCCGGTCAAGCAAATGCGTTGGCAGCGGAGCAGATTGGCAGGGCTTGTGTGTAGCTGGTATGGGACAGTTCTGCTTGTGACTTGCATGCTGCCAGGAGCATTGTATTCAGCATCGGTTGGTGGTTGATGCATGACCACCCTTCTGTCTGTGTTTAATGGTGAGTCCAAAGTTTGCGCAGCCGGTGGCAAAAAGGGTCATGCTTTTTTGCACGTCGTATGCTGCCGTAATGTCATTGTGGAGCTGGCGTACCACGTGAGTGAAGCACTCAAGACAGCCGAATTTCTGCGTGAATTTCAACAGTCCGTCGCGATTCATCGTGTCAAAGGTTTTCGTCAGGTCCACGGAGGTCGTGTGTAGGTTTGTTTGCATCTCCTGACACCTCTTCCGCAGCGGTCTCACGAATTTGGATGGTGCAGCGGTGCCGACGAAACCCGCACTGGCTTTCCCGTAGGAGTTCTTGTTCCAGGTGGTCATTGGGGCGATTTAGGGAAACACGGACGGAAGTTTTCCCTGCGGTTTTGAGAAGCGAGGTTTTCCGGTGATAGTCATTGAGTTTACGGTTCCCCTTCCGCTTGTAGAGATGAACGGTTGTGGCGTCCTTGAAATGCTGGGAGACATCTCCTTGGTGCTACATCTTCTAGAAGTGTGTGGTGAGGTTGTTCATAAGTTGGGAGGCGCCATATTTGTAAACGCTTAGCAGGGATCGTGTCAGATCCGGATGCATTGCCGTCTCATTGCACTAAAATCAATCCTATCAACCAATCTCCTTAATTCTGAAGAAGCAGTTTTTTCTCCTACGTTTTGTTTTTTTTTAAGTGGGGGTCCGCTGAACTCGCCCCCGACTTTAATGGTAAGAGTTTTTTTTTCCTGCTTCCTCCTTAGTTCACCATGCGTTTCAGAGAGTGTTGACTATTATTTTTCGACGATATGTTGGTGAATATGAATTAATCTACCAACACTACTAAACGCTCCAGCTCTATGTTGGTGAATATGAATTTATCTGCCTACATTACTAAACGCTCCCGCTGCCTATTTGGTTGCTCACGGAGAGCAGCATTTATTAACTTTGTATTTATTTTTCCACAGCACTAAGTTTGCGATGACGAGGCTCTCCAGGCCTAAAATTTAAAATTTATTTATTCATTTTGTTGGACAGGAGCAGTTCCTTTGACTGTGGGACCGTAGACAACCTTGATCGCAGTGAAAAGGTCTTCTATTCTGTGCGGTTCGCGGGGTCTCGGATCTCTCCACCCAGGCGTCATGTATTTCCTGCAACCGCTCTTGTGCAAGACGGTGACTTCGGTAAAAAGTTTCTTTGTTTGCGTTTGCAGGGTGGTCAACGTAGACTTTGTGCAGCCGTTTCTGCTCGGAGAACAGATTGCTGATGGCTGCGTCGTATTCGTCAAAACCAGCCCCGTGTTGACGACGTGCGTGGCCGATGACATCCAGGGTGGTAGATTGGACTGTGTCCCTCAATTGGCACCATCGATTTTTCACGGAGGTTTCCTTGTGGTGACTCACTTCACACAGGCGGGCATGTCCAAAAGCCCACCGCTGCTAACGCGTACGTTTGCACTTAAAGGCGCCCTCTGCAACAGCCAATCAGGTCCCTCAAAGGCTAGC